TATCTATATAGTCTAAGTGGAGGATAGCTTAGTGTACATTTCAAGCTTATTTAGTATGAATTCTGACTGATTTTTTGTTTTCCATTATGCATAATTTTGTTTTGTAGCCTTTCGAAATTTTTTGGAAGACTTACTATTCATCTGCTGTGTCTTTACATTATGCAACTTGTTATGCTAATGCAGGTATCTTGATGCTGGGCGAGACATGCTGGCAAGCCTTCAGTATGGTGCAAGATGCCCATGTGGTTATTGCCATATTGCACATGTTGAGTCTCACAAACAGGATGACCACATGGAGAGCTTCTTCCTTGCTGAAACAGTAAGAATAAATATATATATTGCTGTAAAAAATGTAGTCTGCCTTCTTCATTGAATCTGCCAAAGTTAGCCTAAAGTGGAGACCTATCACATGGTTGTTACACTTGTTCTAAACTTTTATATTTCAATCACTTCAGTGAAATGATATATAATGAAAAGAAACAAGCCTTCTAGGAAAACCATCCTAAACACTATGTACACTTTGATGCTCTCCTTTTACAAGTATTTTTAGCACCATTTTGTTAATGTCATTGTGATAGAGAGTTATGTCAGTTTACTCTTATTAGGTCAGTTGTATATGCACACGACACAAATTTGAGTGACTAAGTCTCATGTATGATGTTAGGCTGAGTTGTAAAGTGTGCGCAAATGTAGTTCTGATGTTTGTTATTAAGTTGTGTATCATCTAGTGTATTGATTTCCCTAACCAATACTCTCACATGTCTCCATATGTTTGTTATTAAGTTGTGTATCATCTAGTGTATTGATTTCCCTAACCAATACTCTCACATGTCTCCATATGCTTTTATGCTTATCTTATTCAGTCTTGTGTATTGATTTCCCTAACCAATACTCTCACATGTCTCCATATGCTTTTATGCTTATCTTATTCAGTCTCACTTATCCGACATTTTTTGTTAGCTTGTTAGCTTGATTAAAAAAAAATTATTGATCTGCTCATTTTCTTTGCAGGTTTTGGGCTCATATCGTGATGGCTAATGAATTACTCTTTTGTTGCTGCGGATAGAGTTTATCATACAAGCACTTCTGAATCCTCAGTTACAATTTCTTTACATCAAGGATACTTCTCTTCTCACATGCTATTCAGTTTGTAACTCTTTGAATTTTTTCTTATTAACATTTCTCTTGGTATATCAAAGACCAAATTAACTATGTAATTGTCAAATGTACCTGCATTTGATAAGATAATAGAATTGTTACTTATTTACTCTGATATTAACTTATTCTCACTTTGAATATGTATGAAATATGAAACAAGCCTCAAATGTTTTTCAGTCTGGATATCTGTGAAATATGCAATGGTAATGTATTATTTAGATGTTTTTTTGTAAGATACTTGATATGTTTGTAGAGTTTTCTTCATTTTTATTTTGTTGAAACTCTTGCAAGTTATGGTGGGCAATGAATTTGAAAACTTAGCAAATGTAGGTATCATCGCCAAAATTACCTAAATTTGTGTTTTTTGGTTAATATTTTACACATCTCCATTGCATTTGATGTAAACAAGATGGGTTAAGAGAATAAATTTTCATCAATTTTAAATTCAAATCCATGTATAATAAAGTACCCAAACACTAGATTTTGAAATCAAAGATTTCAAATCCTTTTATTTAATAAATATATCCAAACAAAAGATTTCTTAAATCATGGATTTCAAATCCTAAATTTAAAATCTATTGATTTTAAATCAACTTTCCAAATCCAAATTCAAGTTCCCAAACGCAGCCTAGAGGAATTTCCTTCAACTTGGTATCAGAGTGCCCTAACCCTAGATCCTCCACAAAAAAAAATTACATGCAATGTCAAGACAACGATAACCCTAATGAGCAAGGCTGTGACCAAGAAAGACACACAGAGTAGACCGAAAATCAATTTTATGGCGACTATACAGTTGGAGATAGGGAAAACACAAACACCCAAAAACCTTAAGAAAGAGATAATCTAGTGGTTGGTGAAAAAGACACTCAAATGGGGATTGAGATTTAAACACTCAAGAAGGAATACGATTAATTAATTAGATAAATCGTTGTATCAAATGCTAAGTGCCAAAATTTGCGAGGAACACCTGAAGGAGCCAAGAGAGATAGCCCTATTTCAACAATATGACGATGACGACGTTCAGCAGTCCCATTTTGTTGGGAGATATGAGGGCAAAAAAGACGATTAATAATGCCCAATTTTAAAAAATACTCAGTTAATTTTCAATATTCAACACCCCCCACCCCCCACCCCCCAAAAAAATATATTATTTGTATAGATTTAAGCTTAGTGCCAAATTGTTGTTCAATCATAGCAATAAATTGGGGTTATAAGAAATACATCAGATTTTTGCATCAAAGGATAAAACCAAATATACTTCGAATAATGATCCACAAAGATAACAATATATTTATGACCATCTGACAACAAATTGGGAGTAGGTCCCCACACATCATTAAAAACCAAATCCAGTACTGAATGACTCTGAAAAGACGACAAATGAAGAGACAATTTTGATGACTTGCCAAGCTGGCAGTCAGATCAAAACAAATCTAAAGACTTGAACGAGCACGAGAGTACATTTTTATTGACCATGATGTGAAACAATTGAAATGGGGATGACCCAACTGACGATGCGACATTGCAGGAGATGTACGCTCCACCGAGAAGACCATGGGATGAAGTGAACGAAAAGGGAAGATGAAGTGAGTAAAGTCCACTCTCACTGGGGCCAGTAAGGAGGAGCTGTTTGGTAACCCGATCCTTCACAAGAAATAATCGGGGTGAAACTCAAAGAAAACATTGTTATCAGCAGAAAATTGACGAACACCAAGAATGGCTTTGGAAATAGAGGGAACGTGCAAGATATTATGCATATGAAAAGTGTTGTTTCAGTAGAAAAAATTTTGGAAACAACATTAGCAATTGAAAGTCCTCTACCACTACCAATATGAAGTGTGTCACTACCTTGATAGGCCTTGGAGTGATCAAGACCTGCAACGTCTGGGGTCACATGGTTCGTAGCTCCCTTATACGGAAACTAGAGGAATGCATTAGATTGCTGGGAGGATTCGGGACAAGCATTCGAGAGATGAGCTGTTGGTGGAGCACTCATGATGTCATGCTGATAATACTCAGGAGCACCACCACCACCAAAATTATTATTGTAGCCGCCATCATAGTTATTATTATGTTCATGACTACGTCTGCCCTAACGATTATTGCCACCATGATTGTTGTCGCGATTGCCCCGATTACTAGACTGATTATACCTAAAATTCTGTGAAGCTCTAGAAGATGACTGACCCAAGAGCATTTATTATTAATTTTTTTTTCTATGGTTATTTGCATATTTACCCCTTAAATCATGAGTATTTGTAAAAATAGTCCATAAGATCTTAGTATTTGTGAAACTACCCTTCAAACCATCAATTTTGAGGGGAAAAATACCGCTCAAATCAACAAATCAACAACTTGGTGATAAAAATTTGACAAATTTTTGATAATTTCTACAATTTAGCTTGTTAAATTTGATGATTAATTGTTTTGAGGATAATTCTTTTTCTAAAATTGATTGTTTGAGGGGTAGTCTTACAAATACTAAGATTTGGAGGGTATTTATGCAAATGCCCATGCTTTAAGGGATATATATACATATAAGCCTTGTTTTCAAATGCAAGGTCACCTTCAGAATTCTAAAAATGTGGCTCAGGATGATTTAATAAAAAAGGTTATTCTGAATATATAGTATACATAGACAGAACAAATAGGTCATACACTATTTTAAAGAAACTTAATTACGGGAAAACTATGATCAAGAAGACCCAACTCCAGAGACGCCATAGGATTGAACTTAATTATGGTGTAAGCCTCCTCCGCTTAACAAACTAAACTGACTGATAATAAATAAAAGGGCAAATAACACTAAACACCCAAGAATTTTCAGCATTTTGCAGTTCACCCCCAATAACTTTCAAAATCGTAATATACCGCCAATATATTTTGCAAAAAACCCACAACAGGTAAATTACATTAAACCCCCAATAACTTTTCAGAGGCATTTTTTATGTTTCTTGTGTGTTCTTATTTATCGGGGTTATCTACAAAGTGGAGAAACTTATTGGGGGGTTTTACGCAATTTAAAAAGTTATTGGGAGTTTAGTACGAATTTGAAAGTTATTGGGGGTTGACTGCAGAAAGCTGAAACTTCTTGGGCCCGTTATTTTACCCTCAATAAGCTAGATGCTTTTCCTTTTCAAAAAAAAATAAAAATAAAAAAATAAGCTAGATGTTTTTTCAATATACCCCTCGAAGGTTTTATATCAGAAAATACTTAAATAGGGATTGTAATGTGCTACGGTATAAATAAACAAGGAGGGCAAAATACTTCTCCAAACAGAGAAGAAACCGTTCTATTCTACGAAGTTAATTATCTCATATTTGAGGATTAAGTTGTCTTTTGTTTTTTCCATTTGATTTTTGAGATGTACGTAAGCGGCTAGAAAAGGGATCTCTTGCGAACTTTTTTATTAGATCCGAGGGCTATCATGCAATTTAATTGGACAAGGGGGTTCATACGAATAAGTCTGCAAACTAGGGTTCTTAAGAAAATTTTCCCTAAAACGAACCAGAGGTTATGCCGTTATGATCATGAAAGGAAACCATACGTTCTCCGACTCCGTTTAGGATTAGGAATCCTACATTCTGAAGGTAAACAACGACGATACATCCCGTATAAATGACCTTTGGGCTGAGTCTCAGATTATTACAGAAAAACCATCAGGAAATATATATATCTATATCTATATCTATATATATATATATAGAGAGAGAGAGAGAGAGGAGTTCCAATTATGAGTGCCTTTGGCTTTGAGCAGGCCGACAATGGGCTTCAGCTGGCTGCTGACGCAGGAAGCTACAGACTTGCAAGAGAAATCGAAGACCTCACGGATGGCCATCAGTGGCTGCCACTGAGATTGCTCCACAAGGGTACGAATCTGCAGCAGCTGGGATATTTCCAAGATGCGGCGAGAGAACACGGCAGACGTTCTGAAGGAGAAGAAGCTGATTTTGGTCCTCGATCTGGACAACACCCTCCTACACTCCGTCGAGGATGGCAGTCTCTCCTCAGAGGATGAATACCTGATCCAGTTGAGGGAATTCGTCGAAGATGATCGGGATAGGAGCGTGTTCAGATGGAGCGGCATGGTCACGAAGCTCAGGCCGCGTGTCCGTGCTTTCCTTAAACAAGCAAGCGCGATGTACGATATGTACGTGTATACAATGGGCAGCCGTGAGTATGCGTCGCAGATGACCGAGTTCCTCGACCCAGAGGGCGTTTATTTCAAGAACAAGGTCCTTTCGAGGGAAGACTGTACCGCGCCGAATCAGAAAGGGCTTGATGTTGTTCTCGGGGAGGAAAGAGCTGTGGTGATCATCGACGACAGTAGAACAGTGTGGAGGAGACACACGAGGAATCAAATTGAGATCAAAGCGTACCACTTTTTTGGCCCGAAACGCCCGATCCTTGATTTTGACGGGAATCCGTTGTCAGATACAGAGGAGCTCGAAAGCAAGCATAGTGCATTGGACAATGCTCTTGGATATCTCAAGCGTATACATTGGTTGTTTTTCCGCGGTGCACGTTATCACGATAACTCAGACGGTGATGTGAGGCGAGTTCTACTGCGTATCGCTGATGAAATGCAGCAAGAATGAAATATGGACTTTGGTGGTTAAGAGCAGAGGTTCAATATCCTGACTGATCTGTATTTTTCATTTTTTTTTTCTATTATAAAATTTTGAAAATTTTTATGAAGTTCTTCTGATGTAACTTATAGCTTTGGAAGCTATTTGGAAATGAAATTTGGTTTGAAAACTGCTGTAAGTAATCTTGATTTTTGTAATTTAGTTTTTGGATAAAGTAATATGTGCTTTTACGGACCAACTATTTCTGTATACATTTTGTTGAATGCCTCACTTTGAACCTGGTCGCAAGAACCTCCTTTAGCTAGTTTACTACTATTTTACAAACTCTTGCTTTCCACTTTACAGGTTTTGATTACTGGTCCAGTGCAATTAATGTGACATTTTCTAAACTTTGTAGGATTATTTGTTATATTTTCTCTTATTTAAATGTATGTCGTGTATACTGAAATAAGAATTACTTCCATCTCATTGAGCTCAGATGAAGATTTGTGTATATCAACGTAAATCTTGATTTGCAAATAACACCAAACATTTAACCTGTAGAAAGTCAGCAAACTTAATTTGTGAGCACTGATGGCTGGGGTTCAAATGAAATTCTGCAGATCTTTGCTGAGAGAAAAGATGATTTTATTTGTTCAGTTAACGTATTACTAGAAAATAAAAAATAATTCTTCGCACAGAAAATCGATAAGTATCTGCAGAGAATCTAAATAACTAAATATCAGATACATTATATAGATTATCTAAGTTAAGTTGCGCATTAAATCAATGAGACTTTCTTGAATATATATACCCTTCTAGCATTTTCCTAATGCAGACTTATCACAAGAAAAACTGTTTAAAACAGTATTATAAGTTGTGCAAATAATAGCACTCAATTGAAAACATCATTATGAGAGGAATTTTAGTATTATGAAATTTACAAATAATATCATAAAATCAAGGGTCTATTAGCATTAAATCTAAGTTAAGTTGAACTGATCATACTTGATGAGTTAAGACTGTAATCTCTGAATTCTTGCGCGTTATACTTGTCTTCAATTGATGTGTGTTTCTGAATGTAAACTCAGAAACTTATCACATATGGACTGCGCAAAAATGAAGCATATACTGACTTTGATTTGGGTTGATAGTGCACGCACATCTTGTTAGTCATGCCTAATGATTTTTTTGTTGTTATTAGTGGAAGTTAGTTCATATTTATTTGCTCTGCTTCACATCTGAGATTTTAATAAGAACTTTTTCGTTGCGAGTTGCCACATTTTCCTGCAGTCTACGTAAGCATTATAGACATTTTACGGGCGCTTTTCATGACAGATCTTTGTAGTTAATTTTAATGAAATATAGCTTCATCATGCATTTTACGGGGAACATTGCTCATCATCTTTGAAACTTCAACATTAAGAACCATCTTCATCTCGTTACCCGCTGTCCACCAACGTAACCGAAGTTCGTTAGATTCTAAAAAGGGAAAAATGTGTCCAGGCCCCAAAAGTGGGAACTTCGTGTGACTAGCCCCCCTGTATTTTGCTCCATGCGGAATAGCCCCAAATACGCATAGTATTTGCGACGAGGCCCCTAATTGACTTTTTTCAGAAAAAGACCCAGAGGAAGTTACGATCTTGCCCTCTGATGGGACTGAGCTGGGTTAATGTGCCCCTCACCTTTACAAGTACTCTCCCTCTCTTTCTCTCTCTTCCACCTAGCACCATCATCAAGAACTCTTCATCTTTCCCTCTCTTTCTCTCTCTTCCACCTAGCACCATCATCAAGAACTCTTCATCTTCCTAATTTCTGTACGAATTTCAACGTTTCTAGGGTTTTCACCGGAAAAATGTCGTCGTCTACGGAAGAATCCAGTAACGACTATGAGGTCGGGCACCGAGCCGAGTTAGAAGAAAAAGGCGCTTCATCTGCGGGTGGCAGCGCGGAGGAAGCTGCGGAAGCTACGAAAACCCTAATCGAAATGCAAAAGGAGGTATTACAATGGCGAGACCAGAAAAGGAGGACGGCAATGGCTGGTCGTACCAACGAACCCCCCTCAAAAAAACAGTAAGTGTTATGTTATACCGCGAAGAGACAATGAAGATTAACCCAATATTGTTAGTTCTAGGCTTTGTCCAATGTTAGCTCTAGTTTAAGTCCAATGTTAGTTCTATTTTGAGTCCAATGTTAGTTCTATAATATTACGTGTTAGCTCTATTTTGTTCCCGTTATTGCTAAGTCTAATATTGTTAGTTCTATTTTGTTCCCGTTAGTGCTAGGTCTAATATTGTTTCATATGTCTTATTGAACTTACAAATTCAAAAAAAAATTTGCAGGGAAAAAATTGCTCTAACAGGCTCAGCAGAAACACTAAGGTTAACGGCCAATATCGGAGCTTATTGGGGATTTATGAGGCGCATTGCCCCGAAGATCCGTCAGTGGCATAGGGATGCATACTGCGGTTCTATATTTCAATACTACATTTTATTTGGGGCTCCTGCGCCTGATCGGCCCACCCTTGAGCTGCTGCTGAGCTTTTTCGACAGAGATAATAACACCTTTTGTATACCTGATTCAAAAAGTAGGGGTATGAAAAATGTTAGTTTTGATTTGCAATGGGTCCATAACCATACTTATTTCCCAATTTATGGGGAGGACATAAGGAACAATAGGGACTCAAGAAGCAGAATATGGCTGGAATACTTCTCTAAGTTTTTCATTTCTGAAGAAGGTAAGAAGTTAAAAAAAGCAAAAACCAGCCAACGTAAACATCTTGAAGGGCTACTTGAACGGCTAGTTGAATCTACAAAAAAGCGGGATATCGAGGACTTTGTTCTGCTACAAATTTTGTACCAATGCTCTATGATATGGAGTCCCATAGCAGGGAATGTATCCCTAGACCCTTACTCAGGTACCTGGATAGCATTCAGAGGGTCAATTCGGTTGTATGGGCCCCGTTCTTTTATAATGAAATTATCAGGGGCATTGGAGTTGCTTTGGAGGGAAAGAAGAAGTAAAGGGTCGCATATGTCCCAGGTTGCATGACACTATTGTGTGTAAGTTCCATATTTTACTGATATTGTTTCATTCTAGTTTGTACCTATGCATTGTTAGTTCTAACTTATTCTATGTTAGTTCTGTTCTGTAGCGTGTTAGTTCTAATCTGCACAGTGTTAGTTCTGTTCTGTAGAGTGTTAGTTCTAATCTGCACAGTGTTAGTTCTATTCTGTAGAGTGTTAGTTCTATTCTGTAAAGTATTAGTTCTATTCTGCACAGTGTTAGTTCTATTCTGTCTGCAGCGTGTGAGTTCTAATCTGCACCTTGTTAGTTTTAAGATATACCATGTTAGTTCTATCTGCACCCATGTAAGTTCTATCATAGGTCATGTTAGTTCTATCATAATTCATGTCGTACCACGTACTAATTTACACCATGTTAGTTCTAGATGCAGCCATATTTTATTCTCTTTGGTCTAGTCTAGTATTAAATGTTAATGGTAAATATATTTGGTACAGCTTTGGTACTACGAGATGACAGGCATAAAGAAATATGCCCTCTTAGACACCTCCAGACCTCCAATGACAAATTAGGCATCAGGGGAGGAGAGAATCGCATCTATGAGGATACCGACAATTATTTCAAAGGCTAAGTCAGCGTCAATTACATTTGTCCATAGGCCTATTGCGGAGGTCGCTTCTCCTGGTCATGTTCATTCACTTCCCGCTGAACAGAGGGGTGAAGTTCTTCAGCAAAAGCATCAGGCAAAGAGGAAGGCTTTCCAGGAAGAAACTAGTAAGAACTTCTCAATAGGCTACGTAAGTATCCTGTTATGTTAAGTCGTACTCATTTCACACTAACTGCAAAGAATATCCTAATTATGTTTAATCCTACTTAAAATTATAATCTTGTATCAATAACAGATCATGGCAAAGCATATTGACGTTGCTTTTGACGATGAAGAGGAGATCAATGTTCTTCCCATTAAGCAGCAACTCACATTTTGGAGAAATTCTGCTAAATTTCTCAAGCGACTTCTTGATGCTACAAAGAAGACCAAGAGCAAATATTATAAAGAATTCATGGTTGAGATCAACAGGCTTAACAGGATAATTAAAAAATGTGGAAGACATGATGAGGTTATAGACCCAGTGCTGCTTAAGTCAAATATCAAACAGAAAATTGCAAATGAAATTAGGAAGAAGCGAGGGGAAGCTCAAGAGGAACAGAAGTCCAAAACAAGCAGTGTATATAAGGAAGAGCCCACCATGCAAGAACATGTACATAAGATTGTTGAAGAGGATGTAAAGCATCCTGCTGACGATGAGGCAATAGAAGAGGAGCCAGTTACTTCTCCAGGGGAGGGGGTATATAGTAAGGTTGACCAGACTGTAGATACTAAGGTTGGGGATAGTGTAAATAAGGAAGAGGAGCATATGGAAGATATTGTAGATATGGAAGAGGAGCATATGGTAGATAAGGAAGAGGAGCATATGGAAGATATTATAGATATGGAAGAGGAGCATATGGTAGATAAGAAAGAGGGGCATATGGAAGATATTGTAGATAAGGAAGAGGAGCGTATGGTAGATATGGAAGAGGAGCATTTGGAAAATGAAAATTTTATTGTAGATAACAAAAGTTTTGATGAGGATCCTGTTGATGGTGTAGATAAGGAGGAAGATATTGTAGATAAAGAGAAGGAGAATGTAGATAAGTTGGAAGCACAGGAGGAAGAGGATATTGTGAATATTAAACATGATGTGGATAAACTTGTAGAAGTTCTAGCGACCAATGTGGAAGCAAAGCGTAGACCACAGCCAAGAAGGGTAAGCATGAGATCTAAATGGAAGAGGACACCATATACTGAAGGCAAAAGAAAGAAAAAGGAAAAAATTAGTATAGATATACTTGAAAGTCCTGAACCAAAAGTAAAACTAGCTGAAAAAGTTACTCATTTTTACCCCGGTAATCAAATCCCCACTTTTGATGCGTTGAGTTTGAAGCCAATGACAGATGAAGAGGAAGCTCTATTGGGAGAGCTGAATAATGAGCTTCCAGACCC